TCTGTAGCTCGACACAAGAGGGCCTGCAGGGGAGCTTCCGGCAGGAGATGGGCAGGTTGGAGGCACAGCTAGCAGGCCTGAGGAAGGAGCTCGCACTCCTGGCGTCTGACCAACAGGCGGTGGTGAAGCACGTGGAGTCACTCCCGGGACAAATCAAGGGAGTGCGGGAGGACGTGAGTCTCAGACCCTGGCCCGTCCCCTTAACGGAAGTCCCATTTTACCCATTCTCTGCTAAACTGTGACGTGAGAATGTCTGGGTGATGTAGGACTGTGTGGTCCCACCATATGCTAGGCACCTCTGGGTTGATGATTTCCCCCTCCCCTCCCCCGTCTCTCCTCACGAGCTGGACACTTCCAGGAGCGGTGACCTTTTCTTCTGCCACAACCTGGGCACCGTTAGGGGTGGTCCTCACGTATCCAGTATCATCCAGGGATGGAGGCTTCCCTGCATGTAAGGGTCTGTAGGCCAGACTCCCAGGGCCCTTGTGTGGTGTTGCTCTGCCCACACGCTCTCCATCGTTTGTCATGCTCTGCGGTGCAGACTCCCTCTCCTGGGCTGAGCTCTTTCCCTTGGTGGTTTCAGGTGGAAGCGCAGTTCCCCCGGTGGATCAGCCAGTTCCTGTCGCAGCCCGGGGAGGATGGAGTGGGCAGCCTGGTTCTCCAGCGTGAGGAGCTACAGGATCAGCTCCGGAAGCTGGAGCGCAAAATCCTCGCCAGAGTCTCTGAGGACCAAAGGGTGTCTGCGCGGGATGCCACGGCTAGCATTGGGGTAGCGCTGCAGCAGGAGGGAGTCACAGGTGTGACCGAAGAGGTGAGGCCCTGCCTGCTCAGCAGCTTCCCCTGAGTAACTTACTTGGCTTGGGGATTGTGGCATGGCCCACTCGAGTGTCAAAGCAGCATCAGCCTGTTTGAGCGTGTCGGGCTGTCCGTGCATGTGTGCCGATGTGGGGCAGGCCAGCCCTGAAACCCTTACATACTTGCATACACGGGGTGTGCCAGGGCATGTGTGTGTGACAGGCCGGGGCTCCACGTGTGTGTGCTCATGGTTAGGTGTGATGGGTGCAGTGTATGTGGCTGAGCTGCTGTCCCTAGCATGCACACAGGTGTGTATATGCCAAGCCTGCATGTGTGGCTATGTGCCAGAGCAGATGGGGCTGTGAGAATCAGGGGTTTAGGGCTTCATACATTTTCTATGACCTATTTATTGCTCTTTTTTTTTTTCTTACTCCCAGAACCCTGACAGTAAATTGGGTTGGGGTTGCCAGGGACTTGCTTTGGTGGTTTGTACATCACAACTGGTTTCTTTTAAATATTTTATTAAACCCTCGTGGAGAAAAGGAGGAGGCAGGGTGGGGAGTCAAGTCACTTACAGCCTGATTTTTTTCAGAAGTGCTGAGAGTTTGCAAACCCCCCACTGAAGTCACTGACTAGTGGGGGCTTGCCACCTTTGATAATCCGACAATTAAAACGCAAAACACTTAAATATATCTTTATATAAGAGGAAGGATGAGCTTGTGGCTCAGGCAGTGGATTGGGACTCGGGAGATCTGGACTCAGTTCCTAGCTCTGCTACCGACTCCCCGTGTAACCTTTTAATTGTATCATCTCTCTGTGCCTCAGTTCCCCCCTCTGTAACATGCAGGTGATATTCCCTTTCCCACACCCTTTTTCTGTCTTGTCCATTTATGCTGTAAAGTCTTTGGGGCAGGCATTGCCTTGCTATCAGGGCTGGATTAATTCTCCTGTGGGCCCGTGCCTATTAGATTTGTGTGGGGCCCCTGTATACAAGTCTTTCCTAATTTAAAACAAAATTATCACAATTATGGCATTGAGGCTATTAACGCTATACTAAACTTGCCATTTAATTAACACAAAGCCTTTATGTGGTTACATTTCAGTCTTAAAACATGTAGAATATAGTTAATTCAAAATAGCCTACTTACCTTAGAACAGCTGTTATTAGTTGCTTTCTGGGAGGGCGTTTGGGTGCAGGAGGGGATTCTGACCTAGGGCAGAGGGTTTGGGTGCAGGAGAGGGGGCGAGGTGTAGGCTCCAGCCAGGAGGTGCTTATTACAGGTGGCTCCTTGCTGGTGGCGCAGCAGGGCTGAGGCAGGCTGCCTGCGTGCCGTGGGGTCAAATGGGGTGGTCACAGGTGTTACTCCCTGCCGTGGCCCTACGCTGCTCCCGGAAGCGGCTTGCTGCTGACACGTTTCTGCATGCCCCTCGGAGTGGGATAGTGTCTCCGTGTGCTGCCCGTGCCTGCAAGCGCCATCCCCGCAGCTCCCATTGGCCGGTTCCCAACCAATGGGAGCTTCAGGGACAGTGAAGGGGGGTAGGGGCAGCACATGGAGCCACTTCCTCCGCCAGGGGCCGCAGAGACATGCCAGCAGCTGACCACTTCAAGGAGCGGTGTGGGGCCACGGCAGGCAGGTAGCCTGCCTGAGCGCCCTATTGCACCGCGGAACTTTTAGCGGTTGACTGGCAGAGGCTCCAGGATCGACCAGTTGATTGTGATCGATGGGTTAGTGACCACTGAATTGTATATAATTTATTTTTACGGGATCCCCCTTAGCCCAAGGCCCTGGGCTGCAACCCCTAAAGCCCCTGTGTTAAACTGGCCCTGCTTGCTATGTGTGTGTGTCTAGCATCTAGCATACTTGGGGGCGGGGCGCAGGCTCAGCTGGTGTCTGTAATACAAATACTGTATATATTCGTTCATAAGCCAGATTTTTTTTTAGTAAAAATGGGAAGCACCAGAGAAGGGGGTCGGCTTATGAACGGGTATAAAGAGGGAGAGGTGGGACACAGCCCTTCCCTCAACAGAGGGAGCAAGGAGAGTCTCTCCGCTTCTGGCCACCTGTTCTCCCCCCAGCCTCCGAAGCAGCTGCAGCTCCAGGAGCTGCAGCTCCTGGGCAGCTCCGCGCCGCCCGGCCCCACCCCCCCGGAGCGGGCTGCGGCCAGGCCAGAGACATCCTCCCCAGATAAGGTGGGAAGGGATGGGGAGAGTGTGGGGGTCCTGGGCTAGGGGTGGGGTCATATGGGGGGTGGTCACAGGTGTTACTCCCTGACCCCCAGCTTTTTCCCCAAAAAACATTTTCCCCACCAGTTGCTGTCCCAACCCATCAGGGTAAGCAGCTGGCGCGCCGGGACACTTTGTTTACTTAGGTTTACCTCCGTGCCTGCGGACGCTCGAGGTAAACAAACCATCTCAGCCCACCAGCGGCTTATCCTGATGGCTCGGGAGCCAAAGTTTGCCAACCCCTGAATTATAGGGTTGGCTTATGAATGGGTCATAAACATTTTCCATTTTTACTTCTCCATCTTGGGGGAGTCGGCTTATAAACGAACTGGCTTATGATCGAGTATATACAGTAATTAATAACAAATAGAGAAGGAATAAGAGAGTTTAAAGACTTTTTTACAAATAAAGGGAAAAGCCCTGGTTTGAAAGTCTTTTAAATAGTATCATGTCTTTGGGGGGAGAAAAAGTGAGTCCATTTTAGGTGGTAGATCTCAGGTTGTGGTGTTTAAAGTTCCATGCTGTTTCTTAAGACAAATGCATACAAAAAGAGGAGATAGGAGAATGCAGCCGCTGCCCGCTCTTTTGCTTGCAGATCAGTTGGTGGAAAGAGAACCTGCGGGAACTTAAGGGCTAGTCTACACTGGCAACGCTAAAGTGCTGCCATGGCAGTGCTTTAATGTGGCTTGTGTGGTCACAGCAGAGCGCTGGGAGAGAGCTCTCCCAGCACTCTTAAAATACCACCTTCACGAGGGGCGTAGCTACCAGCTCTGGGAGCACGGCTCCCAGCTCTGGGAGCACTGTCTACACTGGCGTTTTACAGCGCTGAAACTTGCAGCGCTCAGGAGGGTGTTTTTTCACATCCCTGAGCGAGAAAGTTGCCAGTAAACTTTGCCAGTAAAGCGCCAGTGTAGACAAGCCCTTAGGGTCACATCTCTGGAGGGGCTCAAGACCCAGCCATGGTTGATGGGAGGGGTCTCGCTTAGATCCTGTTTTTTGCCTGGTCTGGCCAGCACATCTTTCAGGATCAGGAGAAAGGAAGCCCAGCAGCGTGATGGTAATTTCCTGGCATGCCATGGTGATAACCATAATGGTTATGCTGGTGATGTGGTGGTTACTGGGCACCCTGCCACTGTGGATGAGCTGTCAGGGTCTCCCCAAAAGAGACCTGTGTGAAAGAGATGAGGTCACCACGCTATCATGGTTCTTGAGCCATAACAAGGCAATGCTGGCTCGTGTTTTTAGATGCTGTCTCTCATTTTAAGAAGATTCTGGTCTGTGGCTGTAACAATTCAGTGGCCTCACCTGAAGCCCATAATCAGTAGTTCCTTTAGTTCCAACAAACACTGTTCACATTACTTCTGTTCTGGGACTTCTTTCAGTGGTTTTAGACACCATGCTTGGGGTGCAAATGGCTTCCCTGCCACCTTTCACCCACTTGGGCAAGTCAGCGTTTCAACCAACGGCAGAGTTCCACCCAGCTGTGTGTGTGTCCATGAGTGGCTGTATAAAAATGCGTGTGCCTAGGGACAAATATAGGTGGCAGGGGTTTGCGTGTGATGGGCTGCACATTATGTGCTGACCATTGTGCGTGTTGGTGTGTGCACGCAGAGGCTGCACCTATGGATGTGCACGTGGGTGTGTATTGGGATTGTGTGTGATCAGTGTGTCTCCAGCCTTTGCATTCAGCTCTGTTGTGTCCTTTACTCCTTGTTGCAGCAAGTGCACCTCATTGTGAACCGAGCCCTGAAGCGCTACAGCGAGGATCGTACTGGAATGGTTGATTATGCCCTTGAATCAGGGGGTAGGTGAATCAGTGGCTGCCTCACCTCCCTCCTCCAGTGGCCTCAAAGTATAGAAAGGGGGTGTCAGACTGAAGATGCTCTCACTGTGTTAATCAGAGGAAGGACTTGCTAGGAGACAGCAAGTCCTGATAGCTTAGCGCATAGCCAGGCATCTGGGCATGTGAAGAGGGAGGGTATTGGACTGGCTCTCACGCACGCAGAGCATTGCAGTGGGACTCAGCTGGCCAGCCCAGCCTCACCGGGCGAGAGTCCGTGTACGGCACAACACGCTATGGTTAGAAGGGGAGTTCAGCCCTGCCCGTAGGATGGTTCTTGTCTATCGCCCTGTGAGCTGAGTTGGAATATCTCCTCCCTGCCCTGTACGTTATGCTCTGTTTGGGATCTTCTCCTCCCCAGGCAAGACCATAGTTAGATATACAGAGAGGGCATAACTTTTGTCACCTGGCGAGGATGCTGTGGTCTCATGTGTTCTTGTTTCCCTTTCAATCCCAGGGGCCAGTGTTATTAGCACTCGGTGCTCAGAAACCTACGAGACAAAGACGGCACTGCTGAGTCTGTTTGGGATCCCCCTGTGGTACCATTCTCAGTCTCCACGGGTTATCCTGCAGGTAGGGACCAAGCTGAGTAGAGAGGTGTCCGTATTTCCCCCTGTGAACTGAGCTGGAACTTCCTGCCACTGTGGACTATTCCCTGCCTGTTGCCCCAGTGTGAGCCCAGCTGGATAGTTCTCGTAACACCTCTTGACCCCCTGATTTAGCTAATTGGTCATTGGTGCTCAGACTGCCATCACATCACCCTTGGCTCATCTCCTCTCCTGTCGCTACAGAGTCTCCCGTCCTCGGAAGTCACACTTCCTCCATTTCATTCCCTTTCTCTGGGTTCTCACAGTGTAACGATCGGATCTGAACATGGGGATAGGGATGCCTCCCTGACACCTTGTGTTACACAAGACGTCTGTCCTGGCGCGAGGAAGGGGGAACACGGGAGTTAGGTGTGCCGTTTGTCACCTGATCTTACCTTAGCTGTGATCACAGCTGGGTCCTCAAACTCTGGTCGTTGGTATGTGCCCACTGACCTCATTTGTGGCTTTAGTTCAAAAATCAGGCTGTGAATGTCCTTGGAATTTCCATAGCAGATCAGGCCCATGCTCCTTCCAGCCCCGTGTCCTGGCCCTGACAGCGTCCAATGCCAGATCCTCCAGAGAAAGGTGTAAGAAGTACCATGTGTGAATGCAATGCTGTAACCAGGGGAAGACCTTTCTTCCTCATCCCAGCTAGTGAGCTCTTTGTCACGAAGCCTGAGGGCTGACAGCACTTGTAATTGTTAACAGAGCTAGCTAGTGTCACTGCAGATGCTGCACCACTTTCTCTGTGGCAGTCAGGTTCTGGGTCAGCTCCTTTGAGTCATTCTGCCACCTGAGGATAGGCCAAACCCTCTCCTGCCCCTGATCCAGAACCAGCCCCAGGGGCACATCTGTGTCTTCCTCCCCACAGTAACTGTGGGTTTCACAGCAGCCCAGGCTTACAGTGACTCCTTTGCAACATCTTAGAGGTAACTTTGTGCCACTGCAGTGGGGCAAAGTGACCTGGGGGTGGGTTGAAGATCAGACCCAATGTTTTCTTCATGTCTTGCACTGTGGTGTGTTGTTAACAGCTGCCACGTTGAATTCCAGAGGTGGCTGCACTTCCCAGGAGGGTCAGGGATCCCAGTATAGCAGCTTGTAAAGTGCTTTGGGTCAAAAGGGCCGAGAGAACTGCATGAGGTGATGATTATTACCGTTACTTAAAGTTGGTTTGGTTTTGTGTTTTGTGTGTAGCCGGACGTTAACCCTGGGAATTGCTGGGCTTTCCGTGGATCTCAGGGCTTTGCTGTTATCCGTCTGTCCAGCCACATTCGCCCCACTGCTGTGACTCTGGAGCATGTCCCAAAAGCCCTCTCGCCCCTGGACACCATCCCCAGCGCACCCAAGGACTTTGCCGTCTTTGTGAGTGTCTTTCTCTGCACGGAAATGGGGGGGTAGAGGAGGAAAAGTCTGTGTGTGGAAAAGGGGACCCGGGTGGTCTTGGGATCTTTTGCCATTCATAACCACCCTCCAGTATTGGAGATGGGGATGTTTCCTTGCCTCAGAGATGGTCTCCCTGCTGTCTCCCTACGGGGGTGCTGCAGAGGGCTGGTGTGTTAAGCCAAGGGACGGAGTGTTGCAGAGCAGGGTGAGATGGGGAACATGGGGAGGGGATATCCTGTGGAAGGAGGCAAGGCGAGCTAGGGGTTTAGTACATGGGAGGAGGAAATGTGTTGGGGAGGGGGTATATTGGGGAGAGGAGGACGGAGACTGAGTACCTGAGGGAGGAGGAGATGTACGAGGGGAGAGGGAATGGAGTACATGGGATAGGGGAAAGTGGGGGAGGAGGGAAGGGAGGGGTTGACTGGGGGTCCATATGATGTGGGGACATTTTAGGGGGGAGGGAGGCAATGGCTGGGGGTACATGGGTAGGGGATGGTTTGTGGGGAGGTGGGTGGGATGGGTATGGTTGAGGAGGAGGGTGGGGGTACAAGGGGAGGGAAGGGCTGAGGATGTGTAACTCTCAGCCCTAGGTGCTGGAACTAGGTGTGCTGCCGCACCCCCTGGTTTGAAGAGGTTTCCATCATATCCAGGGTTTACAGTTTGGTTCAATCGCTGTCAGCTCCCCCACTATACAAATTGTTCCAGCACCTCTGCACACAGCCTTGTCCCCCCACTGCTCCTGCGTGTTCCCTGTCCTCTCACTGCCCTGTTTGTTTACTTTGGCATGGGAGAGCAGGAGTGGAGTTTAACTGCACTTGTCTCAGTCTCCCTCTGGGCGCTCTGATCACCCCACGTTCCTCCTCTCTCTCTGCTTTCTCATCACTCCACCCTCCCTTTCTTCCCCACTTTCACTTGGTCTCACAGGGTCTGGACGAAGAAGGACAGCAAGAGGGCATTGTTCTCGGACAGTTCACCTACGACCAGGATGGGGATCCCATCCAGACGTTCCGCTTGGAGGTACGAAGGAGGAGTGGTAGGGCCCCAGGGAGCTCCCTGGATACTGAGCCAGGGAGAAGAGCCCAGAGAGCCCCGCACCTCTAGTATTTAGAAGCCAGTCAAAGTGTCATCACACAGGCCGTGCCCCTGCCAATGCCATTACCTCTGCTGTGCCAGGGTCTCTGCCTGGGGTGGTTTGGCTCAGTGCATTCCCAAGATGGGCCCGTTGCTGGCCACTGTCTGAGGTACAGTAGGATACAAGGATAGGTGGGCTAATGGCCTGATCCAGTGCAACAGGAGCAGGGAGACCGGATTAGACAGGTTAATGGTCTGATCCAGTGCAGCATGTGCTTGCATGTGAACTACAGGATGTTTTGGCTACTGACTCTGGAGGAAGCCCCCCCGGTGATGCTCCCCAGGGTTATGAGGCTCCTTGCTACTACCTGCCCTTAGCGAGAAGCCGTCTTGTCTGTGCCTGCTGTGCTTCAGCTCCCTGACACCAACAGCCTTGGGCCCACAAGCATGGACTTCCAGGTCCCCACAGACCTCGCCGTCTCTGCAGGCTAGTGCTAGGTACACCCCAAGTGCTCGGTGTGTTCCCTGCAGTATCCAGGCCCTGTCACTGGACACTCTCAGTAATAACCAGGTTTGCTGTACCAAAGAGACCATGTACACACAGCTTGACTGGCCCAGGTCCTTGATGATGACACAGCACTGGAATCTACTTACAGTGAAAACAAATAGGTTTATTTACAAAGATTAAGATTGAAGAGAGAGTAAGCAAGGATATTAAGAACAGGTTCCATGTAAAACAAAAGATATAACACACTTCTTAGTCTTACCTGAACTCTGACGGCCTAAAATCCTTGTCTAAAACAATTCTTCACCTAAAACAACCTTCCAACATCATTAGCCCACCATCCAACTTTCTTGAATGCAAAAAGCGCTGTCCTTTTTGCTTCCTCGGTGAAGGATGACAAAATGTCATTTTGCTTTTCCTTCTATTTCCCCAAACTCATTGTTTTCTCCCCCAAAGACAGGATAACTCCCGTGGTTCCCTTCTTTGGGTGTTGGCTCCAAGGTATCTTCTCATACTCCTGTTTGATTCCCATTCCCCTCCCCCACCACCTATTTTTCTTGTTGACTTTCATATGTAAGTAAATAAGGTTTCTACTGCGTTGGCTTTACATTACTTGATTTCCATCACAGGCAAGGATAGGTGAATAGACAAGCTCTTTCTAGCAGAAAACCTGTTTGTCTGCTCTGCCTGGTTGCAAACTTTAAAACATAACTTCAGTGTGTATACTTCTTAAATATCATCAGTACATACATTTTACTATGATATTAATGACCAGTAAGTAACCAGCTTTCATTTGATACCTTACAAGACACTATTTATGGATAAATGAATACCATGAAGGCAGTGCGTTAAGTGTAGGGAGTTTGTCAGGCCTTGCTCTCACAGGAGTTGCCGTCACAGAACAGTGAACCCTTTGCTAGTTGGCATGGAGGGGGTCTGAGGGTCACACTGACCCAGACCCCTGGCTGGGCTGTGGCTTAGTTAGAGAGGTGACTTTCCTTTTGGGAAGGTCCTCTGGACTTGAATGGATAATGCTATAACCTCTCAATAGGTTTCTTTCTGAGCTGTCCTGTAGAACTGAATAGAAATTCTCCTCCTGCTGTAGAATTCTACAGGAAGGATCCAAAGCCTACAGAGAGGTTCATTCTCTGATTGATACCAAGGGCCAGACCCTCCACCCCACTCTGTTTGCACTGCTCTGGTGGCACAAAGCAGCTCTAAAACTGGTTTAACCACCCCTGGAGATTCCCCCTGCATAGGGGACCCGTTGGCTGGTGTAGAATCACTATTGTGGCTCCTATGCCCCACCCCATTTTTGGCCTCCCTGGCATGGAGGTGTGGACTGGGAGAAGGGTCCTGGTGGTGCCACTTCTTATCTGGCTGACCCATGCATGGCTGGGGCACATTTGCATCTAGATGATACCTGGTTGCTGGGGCAGCCTGGGGAGCCCATTGGATAGGACTAATGCAGAACCAAAGGATCCAGGGGCCGCAGCGATGGCTTAAAGCCACTTCTGCCCCCACTCTTTCCCCTCTGGTCTTGGGCCGAGCAGAGCTTTGCAAGACCAGAGGATCTGGCCCATTTAAGTTCGTAGAGTACTTTGTATAGGGCCCTATTGGTTCTGTCCCTATTAAATTCTGAGGGTGAATAGGAACTCTCCAGGATGTGTGAAAGTGAAGACCCTCCTGAAATCAGTGAGGAATCTGTGGGGAACGGGGGCTGACTCTTGCCTAGAAATGGTGTTTCTTTCTGCAGAGAGCAACCCAGACTATGAAATGTCTCCTCTCTTCCTTGCCCAGGGTGAAGATGTGGGCACGTTCCAGGTGGTGGAGCTACGGATTCTGAGCAACTGGGGTCACCCGGAGTACACCTGCATCTATCGCTTCCGTGTGCACGGGGAGCCGGTCCACTAACCCCTCCCTGGCTCTCCCCTGCCCCTAGCTGGCTACCTCAGGTTCTGTGCCGGCCGCAAGCGACAACCATGGCAGAGAGAGGTTGTCTCCAGAGAGAATGGCAAGCCGGTTAAGGAAATTCTTCTTTTTGCCGCTTCTCTCAAGTCCCAGGGTGGGAGAGGTGGGGGAATTACCACCCTTGGCGAACCTAGTCCCCATATGCTTTTCTGTGCTGCCACTTCCAGAGGGAAGAGTTTGTATTGGGTGGGGGTGGTGGGGAGGGGGAGGGATTTTAGTGTTCAAAAGGTGGTGTGATGGGAAACGAGGCTCCGATCCAGGTCAGGCCAGACATTTTAACTTTTTTTAAATGAGTCTTTGCAGTCCAGACCTTTCCCCACCTCCCTCTTCCCAGCCCCATCCCTTCCAGATGTTAAAGAAGACTATAGCATAGTGTCCCAAGTTTTATGAATGAACATATATTATTATCAGTGGGGTGAAGGTGTGATCTATTTATGGCATCGTTGGCTGGGTAGGCGCCATCTAAATGTCAGGGAGGGTGGGCACATGACCAAATAATTTTGCACTATCGCCTGTTTCCTTCCATTATTGGATCAGTGGCTTGTTTTAGTTAGACCCAGTGGCTAGCTTGCCATGGGTTGAATTTGGATCTCATGACCCTGGAAAGCTGCTAACATGCCTGTTAGCTAAGGGAAATAATGAGGACACAAAGACATGTATTAAAAGGTTAATATATAAGCAAAAGACTGGGGTTTTAGTCCTTGGGGGAGAAGATAATCTAATCTCCCTGGGATTGTAAAACAGCCTCAACAATGCAAACCTTCCACTCAGGTCAGTGTATTATATAGTCCTCAAGAAACACCTTCCCTTCCACCGCAGCTGAGTGCTATTGGATTTCACCAATGTGCAAGGCTGTGGCCAGAGTGGGAGAAGGTCCCGTATTATTCCCACACACGTGTGTGTTGTTCTCACATGTAAATCCCCCAATTAGTGCTGAACATTCACAAGTCAAAATGTCTGTGTTGATGTCCTTTAAAACTCTTCCTCCCGACACTGTTTTTAGTAATAATGAAGGATGTACTTTTCCATGCAACGTATAATTAACCTATAGAACTTTGTACCACAAGGGAGACCACTGAGGCAAATCACTTAGATTAATAAAGGGCTAGTCACTTAGAGTAGCATTTGTAGTAGCACTAACTAGAGTGAAATGGCCAGGGCTATTTAATCCTCAGGCTTTGAGATGTGAACTGATCAGTAGCTAAGTTCAGGAGAAAATTTCCCTCCATGGGTGCTGCATGATCAGATGCCATGGCCCACAGTTGGAGACAGGGTACTAGGCTCGATGGGCCAGTGGTCTGGTAGTGCCTGCCTGCTTTGCTTTTGGAAAACCCTAGTCAAAATTATAACCGTCTATGGTGGGTGTAAAAATATATAATTATACCCCCACTGGTTTATGTACATCTGTATATAAACAACTGTACATAGGGGGGTAGAGTCTAGGCTGTAGTTATCCAGACACATGGGGTTTGTTGATGGGGACACAGGGCAGATATGAGAGTATTAGTGTGATCACGGGAAGTGGCACAAACCCCGCAGGATAACGGGGGATATGAGACAATATTATACAAGCTTTGGGGATAAGGGGACGACGACCCTGACAGCTCTGATCTGGGGCAAGGGTGGGGAAAGACAGCAGGCCGAGCAGAGGGTGTGGTGCCAAGGCTGGCTGAAGGGTGCTGAGACACAGAGCTTGTGGGGTTCACTGTAAGTAGGGGCGGTGAGGTAAGCCAGTGCAGCTTGGTTCAGATCATTAAGGACCCTGCTACCGGGCCTTCAAGGGAGAGTAGTAATGGTGGTAGCAATGGTTCCAGGAGGGGGCTTGTGGCTGAAGCTGGGACTGGCCTTTTCCCTCAGGGGAAGGGTGGGCAGGTCTGTGTCACAGCCGTCCCCCATTCACAGCTGCCGTCCTGGGCTGAGGCCGTGTATGGGGACGGTTGGACAGGGCACAAGTGGGCAGGGAAGGGCTGACAGCTACCTCTTCCTATGGATTTATCTGGGAGAAGGGAGACAGCACCAAGGTGGGAAAGGCCCCTCCACCCCAGACTTGAGCCACAAAGACCTCCCTGAGGGCTGTTAGTGTTGTTCCCAGCTGGCAAGAGAAGGAGGGGAGAGGGACCTGTGAACAGGCTGGCTGGGGCCTTATTCTCACCACCACACCCACTATATCAGCTTTGAGCTGCAGGACAGAGTAGGAGTTCATATCAGTGGCCTTGAGAAGGTAACATGTGCTGCTCAGAGAAGGGTTGTCTCTGTCTCTAGGTTTTGGCCAGCACGCTCTGTTCTTAGTTCAGCTTATGTTTTGAATTGGTTTTTACGTATCCATATTTGTCTTCTCTTTATCTGAAAGAAAAGCCAAGGGCTCACTTTGTATCAGCCCCATTTGAGGCTGGCACCCCCCCAAGTCAAATTGGGTCTGTGAGGTGCGGAGGGTACTGAGCACTGATTTTTGCCAGGTTGTCTCCAAAACCTGTTGAAGTCCAGTAGGGCTGGGATGGTGTGAAAGGGAAGTGAGTGGGGGACTCCCTTCCAGAGCTGGCAATGGGCTTTTTCTGGCCCACATGTCTTGCCTTAAATCTGCTGGAGAAGTCAAGCAGTGCACATCCTCTTGGTCTGCTCCTCCATTGCCTCATCAAGCATGTGGCTCTGATCCATGTGCCCATAGGGATGAGGGTGGGACAGCACCTCCTTTTGGAATTAATCACCACTACTCCTAAATTGGCTGCAGGGGGTGGTGACTGGGTGATAAATGGCTCCTACACCAGATGCTGATTGCCCCAGGCACCAAGTGGGTTCCTGCATGGAAGTGCATGGCCCCAGTCCCTAGAACTCCGAGTCCACCTGCAAGGAACTTGGACTGGCAGTTGAAGATGGGTTGACCAGGGCTTTACAAGCCCCTAGGAGCAGTGGACCTAGCCTCTGGTGCTTCTTTAAAATCTGACTACTGAACCAACCCTCCCCCAACATCTAGGCATGTTGGAACAGTGGTGAAAGGAGAAAAGGTTCATTAACTCTTCCTGTGCTCCAGGACCAGCTGTCAATTGTAGGGCAGAGGGTGTTTAAAATTGCTGCTTCAACTGCAGCCCCGCTTCTTATCAACATGCCAGGTAATCATGGTACTAGATACAGAAGATGAGTACAGCAAGGTGGTAATAAGTGGGAAACATCTGCTAAGGCAGAGCTTCTCTGTTTACTCCCCTTGAGCTGCCTCACTTATCCCCCTCTCTCTCTGTGTGTGTGTACCAGGAAAGTGTTATAAATTAACCTTACGCAAACCAAGCTGGGTACAGGCAGATTAATCTGTATTTAATTCTGTAGCCTATTGCAAATGCTGCACTGTTTTGTTTGTTTTTTATCTACAGACTGTAATTTATGCCTATGCAAAAAAATCCAAGACAATAAATTATGTCAAAACAGTTGAGATTTGTAGACATTCCTCTGATGTGTTTGCAATTGGGAAGGAGGGGGGCAAAGCTTGTACAAAACTCATTTTCCATTGGGAGTAGAGAGGAAGAGACAGAGCTAGATTCACAAGGGGGTCTAAAGCCTTGCAGCACTTGACTTGGGGCCCTGCCACCACAGGCACCAACTTTTGTTGGCACCGGTGGGTGCTTGCGCCCCCTGCCCCAACTCCTCTGACTCCGCCCCCTCCCTGCCCCTAGTGGATCCCTCTCCAAATCCCTGCCCTAGCCCCGCCTCTTCCCCAAGCGCTGCATTCCTCCTCTCCCCCCCCCCCCCCCCAGGCTTGCTGGGTGAAACAGCTGTTTCGCGGCACAAGCGCTGGGAGGGCGGGGGGAGAAGCAGGACGCGGTGGCCTGCTCAGGGGAGGAGGCGGAGCTGAGGCAGAGGTGAGCTGGGGTGGGGGAGCGGGTCGGGGAGCTGCCAGTGGGTGCTCTGCACCCACCAATTTTTCCCTGTGGGTGCTCCAGCCCTGGAGCACCCAGGGAGTTGGCGCCTATGCCTGCCACCTAGGTATTCAGGCTCTCTTAAAAATTCCAGCAGGATGAGGAGGGAGCTGCCTAAGTTAGCCAGTAGGAAATGCAGGAAAGGGGGGTGGCCTAAACTCTGACCCTAGAGGGGAGTTAGGCACCTAACTCTGCTCATGATTCACAGTTATGAACCCTATCTGGGAGTTGGACACTTAAACCATGGCAGCCCTTCTCTATAAAGACAGGAGGCAATACCCCTATCTTACAGCCTAGTGGTTAGAGCACTCACCCAGCATGTGGCAGGCTTGGGTTCAAGTCCCCACTCTGCCTGACATCAAGGGACCTTGAACCAGGTAAGTGCTCTAACCAGGAGGGGATTCTAGGTTGTGTCTCAATCTCTTGTTGAAGCTGTTCCCCTATGTAAAATACATACATTTGCCAAACCAGTTTGATTTCTTTCTTTGACAGGGTAACCAATTTGTTGGATGGGGGAATGCGGTGTACATAATATACTTAGACTTCAGCAAGGCTTTTGACACAGTCCCACATGACATTCTGATAAGTAAGCTGGAGAAACGCAGGCTTGGCATAACTACCATTAAGTGGATACATAATTAAACAACCACAGAGTAACTATTAATGGAATGATATTGTATTTGAGGGAGGTCTCAAATGGGGTTTCACAGGGATCTGTTCTGGGTCTGCTGTTTAACATCTTTATTAACGACCTGGATGTAGGAATAGAGAGCATACTGATCAAATTTGCAGATGATGCAAAACTGGGGGGGGTTGCTAGCACTTTGGAGGCTGGAGCTAAAATTCAGAGGCATCTTGATAAACTGGAGAACTGGGCTCTAGACAACAAAATGAAATTCAACAAAGACAAATGTAAGGTGCTACACTTAGGGAAGAAAACCCAAATACAGACTGGGGGATAACTGGCTTGGCGGCAGCAGCACTGCTGAGAAGAATCTGGGAGTTGTGGTAGATCAGCCTCAACATGATCCAGCAATGCAATGCTGCTGGTGCTGCTGCAAAAAAAAAAAAGTAAATGCAATTTTAGGTTGCATTAATAGAGACATAGCATGCAAGCCACAGGTGATAGTACTACTCTACGTGGTCTGGTTAGGCCTTGGCTGGAGTACTGTGTCCAATTTTGGTCACCGATGTATAGAAAGGATATAGAGAAATTAGAAAAGACCCAGAGGTGAGCTACAAAGATGATCAAAGGGATGGAATGCAAGCCATACAAGCAAAGGCTGAAGGAACTGGGTATGTTTAGTTTGAGAGGGGATATGATAGTAGTCTTCAAATACTTGACAGGCTGCCATAAAAAAGATGGAGAAAAGTTGTTTTCTTGCTACAGAGGGCAGGACAAGAGGCAATGGGGTCACACTACAGCATAGCAGATTTACATTAAATCGAAGGAAACACTTCCTCACTGTAAGAACAGTCAGACAATGGAACAGACGCCTAGGGAGGTTGTGGAAGCTTCTTTACTGGAGGTTTTCAAAAGGAGGCTGAATAACCATCAGTCATCTGGATGGTTAAAAAAAACAAATCCTGCATCTTGGCAGGGGGTTAAATTAAATGACCCTTGTGGTCCCTTATAACTCTTACGAGTCTCAGTAGTCAGTGGGCCAGAGTATGATTATAACTTAGCAGTTAACGTGCTTCCCTAGAGTGCTCTAGGTTCCAGTCCCTGCTTCACATACCAGCTGAATGCTCTAACTTACTGGTCTGTAGGGCATAAAGGGGGGGGGGGGGTGCAACACCCCCCTCCCTGGTGTTTTGTTGGGGGGGGAGATCCACTGTGCCCAATCTTAGGCAGCCTTTGAGCATGTCTACCAGATTGGGCTCTGCAGGCAATTTAGGCATGGAAACACCTAGTTTAGGCTCTCAACTGGTTGGTGGTGACAAAAATTTAAGTGGCAGGGGGCCTTTAGATACCTAGACGGTTAGGTGGTTTTGAAAATTCGAGTGTTGCCTAAATGTTGGACTTTGTCCCCTAAAGTGGCAGGCTCCCTTGTGACTCTAGTCTAGCCCATAATAGGCTATGTCTTACCCAAACCCCTTCCATCCTCAGAGCACTGCAGAATTGTTCTTATAAATGCATTAGTCCAGTCCAATTTAAGTGTCTTACAATTCCTCATATCCAGCCACCATCTGACTTTGGCACCATTTTATCTCCTGCCTTATGCATACTGACTCCCTACTTTCCCAATAGCCAGCTTGCAACATCCCCTCCCTAAGCATTTTAGAAAACTGATTTAAGTAGTTTTTTCCCCCCAAGGCTAACCCACTTGAGTTATTCTGCTTCCCCTATTCCAAAGAACAACCTAGCTCTGCTTCACAACACCGGGCCTAAGACGTGTGCTACTGCTCAGATAACCTAGCTGAGCTGGAAGTAGCCTGTGGGTGTAGAGGGGACTTGTAGGAGGATCCACTCACAGGTCTGGAACAACTGCTGTGTAACTGAACAGCTGCCTCAAATGAAGTTTGACAACACAGGCTATAAACATTTTACATAGTAAATGGAGCCTATGCTTACGAAGGCTGCTCAGCTCCCCCCCGTGGGTGGATTCCTTGCTCTGCAAAGCTGCCCCTGCTCTCTATTTGTAGTTGATGCTACTTGCATTGGAAGCAGGATTCTGAGGAGTTCCCTCCTGGCTGGCTGGGGAGCAACTGAAGATACTCAGTTTATGAGTTTGGACTCTGGCACACTGGGGCTTGGGTACTGTTGTTATTTCCCAGCTAGCGTGAGGGATGAGGACAAGGACGCTGCATGTGATCACAGCTGCATGACTCTTTGGCAAGGAAAAATTGAGGCCCGATGCAGAGATACCATACTACACTACAGCAGGTCCCAGCCCACACTTAACTTCAGCAATAGAGAGGCAGTGCCTTCAGAGCAGGAAAAAGTAAAACCCTAAACAGCTCCCAACTGCTTAGGCGACAGATAAAAGGACACAGTTCAGATGCCCCACACAGCAGATCCAAGTGTTCGTACAAGAAGCTAGGTGTAGAGAATGGCACTTTCTGCAGTTTGAATGGGCACTAAAGACTTGATTAGGTTCTATCCTCCATTGCAAAAGGGCCAGAGATATAGGGTTTAGTCCAGTGGTTCTCAACCAGGGGTATGTGTACTCCTGGGGGTACGCAGAGGTCTTCCAGGAGGCATATCAATTCATCTAGATATTTGCCTAGTTTTACAAGAGGCTACATAAAAAGCACTAGCGAAGTCAGTACAAACTAAAATTCATACTGACAATGACTTGTTTATACTGCTCTATAGATTGTATCAGCAGTTCTCAAACTGGGTCATGACCACAAAGTGGGTCACGAGTTTGTTTTAATGGGGTTGCCAGGGCTGGCATTAGACTCACTGGGGCGCAAGGCAGAAAGCCTGAGCAACTTAGCTTATAGGGACCCACTGTGGCTTAGGGCCCCAGGCAATTGCTCTGGTTGCCGCTCCCTAATGCCAGCCCAGAGAGTAGGACTAGACATAATGTGGAGAAAAACTTAATTGTTACTGTAGCTTCACTGCTTCCCAGAATGAGAAGGCTCACAAGTGAAAAACGGGCTCAAGTATCACACTGAAATGTAAGTACAATATTTATATTCCAATTGATTTATAATTACATGGTAAAAATGAGAAAGTCAGCACTTTGTCAGTAATAATGTGGCTGTGACACTTTTGTATTTTTATGTCTGATTTTGTAGTTTTTAAATGAGGTGAAATTTGGGGGTACACAAGACAAATCAGAGTCCTGAAAGGCGTAGAGTAGTCTGGAAAGGTTGAGAGCCCCTGGTTTAGTCTACCTGTAGCAGAGAAGTGGGGCTCAGATTGAGCTGCCAAATAAATTCCTTGCTCAAGCATCTCCAAGCCTTCATACTGAAAGCATGTCTTTCACCTACAGCTCATGGTGTGCCATGGTTCTCAACCCCATCCCCTTATACCATCCCTACAGCTTCCCCTTGTACGGGAAAGCAGCCTAACTTCACCAGTACTCCTATGGAACCTATCCCCCTACATAAGTGCAGAGGCTGCTCTCACACCTAGATTGGAGTAGAGCGAGGTGCAGGACTTTGTGAAGGCACAGGGATTCAGGGGTAAGTGGTGGCCGTTCCCATGATTAACATTTAAGAACACAAAGCAACAAGACACTATTTAACTTAGAACAAACTTTTTATTTTATACATCACACCAGTCTCAGTGATCTTTGTATGCTGGTCACAACAAAAAGGAGATATCACCACCTCCTTAGCATGAATTTATGTAAATCCTCTTCAGGCCCTAGGCTTCCCTCTTTCAGTTGGAGCACAAGGAATGAAGAAAGAGGAAAACAGGCTCAGGAATGAAGAACGCCTAGAGTTCTCTGCCTCCCTGAAGAGCAGTGAAATCAGATGCAGTTTTAATGCTACTAGAGGGCCTGGGCATGAATGAAGCAGGCCCCCATATTTTGCTAGCAACACTTCACACTCCTTCACAATTGGGGTGCCATTAATAGTGTAGCTACTTATGATTTCTCCTAGAGAGCTCTGGCAGTTAAGCAACTGGCTCAGGAAGGACCATGCTCTATCTCCCCACTTCCATTCGGTTTGCCCTCAAAGATGGCTTTAGGCTTTGTCTCTCTAGTTAACAGCTTCCCAAGGTGGAGGCTCTCTGAAACAATGAACAGTGACTCACTTCATTCTGAGTAGAAAGTGATAGCTCTGCCTCTCCCTCAAGATATTAAGCATCCCACTAGTCAGTGGAGGATAAGCATTATCCTCTAGGGGAGCTCATCTTTTGAAGAGGAAGGAATGGGAGAGGAGAGAAGAACAAGTTGGGAGGTGACCAGCTACAAAGCCTGAGGTAAAAGGACATGATACTCATAAAATAAGTCACTTCAGAAGGAGTGTCCTGGAGG